GGGCAAGATCTCGGTGTACAACCAGGAGATGAGGCGGAGGATCTGGGCGACGGTCCAGGAGTTCGACATGCAGGCGTCCTTCGACCACGGCCTGCCCACGCTGGTGAGCCAGCTGCACTACGACGTGCAACCGCCGAGGAACCTGGACGACGAGGACTTTGACGAGGACACGACCCAGCTGCCTCCGTCCAAGCACGGCAAGGAATACACGTACTCTTCGTACCAGAACCTGGCCCGCCAGAGCCTGCCTCTGCGCATGGAGCTGAGCCGGCTTCTCTGCGGACCGCCGGGGGAGATCGACTACGACCAAGTCATCCGCTACACAAACGACATCACGCACGAAATCGACTCTCTGCCCTCCTGGGAACACAACAACACCAACACGCACGGCGGTAAGCGACCACTTCTCGCCTACACCCTGCTGCACATCCAGCTCCGCCAGTACATCATCCCCCTGCACCAGCCCTTCCTCAAGCTGCGCAAGTCCAACGCCAAGTACCAGTACTCGGAAATCATCTACTACAACGCCGCGCGAGACATTGTCCTCTTGCACGACAAGCTCTACGAGCAAGGCATCCGGTGCCTCAACTTCCTCCGCGAGGACGCCCTCACGACGGCCGTCAACCTCTGCAGCGTCACCATGCTGCAGCCGCGCGGCTCGACCAACATGATCATGATCAACTCCCAGCACACCGTCAAGCTTCTCGAGAAGTGCCTCTCGATGAAGGAAGACAGGCTCCTCCGGTGCGGCAATACCGAACCCTGGGGCTACTCCATCATGTGCTCGGCCCTCGGCCTGCTCGAGGCGCATCTGGCTACAAAGACCACCGAGCAGGCCAAGGCCTCGTCCGCGGAGCGGTTCGTCAACCTGCACTACAAGCTGCTGGCGAACCAGGAGCCCCCGGTATCCAGCCAGCAGTCGGAGCTCTCAAAGATTCCCGGCTTGGAGGTTCCGGAGAGACCAAAGGTGAGCATTCCCGGCTTTGCCCCGGCGACGGCGGCAGGTATTGAGCAGCTGCTGACTCACCTCTCAAAGTCGGTCACGCCCTTCTCCTTTCAGGGCTATCCGTCGTCGCAGAACACCGTCGACGGGCTCCTCCCTCAGCCGCTGCCGTGGATGTCCGCATCCATCGACCCGCAGGTGAGTCTCCACAGCGACTTCTCCCCAGCACTCGTCGCTGACAGTGTGTTGGCAAAGGCGCAGTCGTTCAATCCCGACTTTAGTCTTGAAGCTTTGGGATTGAACTTGAACGAGTTGTGGGGAGAATCTTGGGACTTTAGCTGAGGCGGTGTCTTTCTTCTAACCACGTTGGTTCGACGGCTGTTGATGTGATGAAGAACGGGGGAGGGGGGTTGTTGTCCGATGCGCCCCAAAGGGGGTGTGTGTTCCTGAGTTTGGAAGGATGAAAATCCGTCCCGGTTACGACGTTCAGAAAGCTTGTGATACCCATCTCAATTCCTCTATCGGCAGATATATGAGTTAATGCTGCATAATCGTATCGGTCCTGACTCGCGGAGAGGACTCAGCCACGGCGGCATTCCGCACTCTGGCAGCGCTGTGACGATTAGGTGACAAACATTTAATATATTTCTTCGTTTAACCTTATCTACGCCCCCCTTATGGCCATCTCCACCTGCCTGTCACGATGCTTAGGGACCGATATCCGAAGCAATTTAATCAACTTGTCCGCACGAGCAGCCCCCCCAAAGACCCATTGAAAGGGGGGGGGGCGCTTCCGTTATGACCACAGCGTCAGTTGGTACCGAAACCTGACTCGAGCACATTGCAATATTGACTCTCCGGCGCCTTGACCACATCTAACTTCCTCGGCATCTCTGCGGAATGCCGGGGGGGGGGGGGGTCCTCAATTGTTTCCCGGGTCCAGCTCTAATTCCCCTTTTGCGAATCTCGCAGCCCCTGATGTCATATCTCGCAAGACGTCGCAATGGTGGTTCCCTCCATCGCGCTCCTTTCGCATGTGTTTCTCGCCTCCAAGGTTGTCGGCACCGTATCGTCGAACCCGTGGAAGCTACCAATCACATAGCCGGGGGACGCAACGAGGCCGGATTGCGCTCGCGCGCAAATCACGGTCACGAAGCCTGCGCAGCGTCTGCGAGGAGGCCTACGACGTAGTAAGGCGTTTCCACGACTCGCGGCTTGAGGCGGGATGGGTTGGACAATCCCGATGTCACTCATCTTGGTCGACATGAGACGGGAATTGTCCGAATTTTCGATTGGCTCCCCCCCACCACTTTGGCCGGATCCATGTGGCACAACGAAACAACAAACGTGGACAGCTTTCCGTTGCCTACGCCCAAGCTTCGCCATGCTCACTCCAAGCTCATGACGCTCGCGAGCGGGGAAGCGGCCGGGGTCAGGGTCGCATGGCCTCGGACTGGCGGCGGACGATATGCCAGATGCAGGAACCACGACAGGGGTCGGCTCGGCACCCAAACCCGTTGTCCTTTCAATATTGCAGGACCCCATGCTTCTCACAGCGGTGCCCAGCTCCCGGCTCCTGCCAACCGCCTTCTGTTCCTGGCCTGGTGCGTGACCACCAGATGACAACCTGATACAGCATGCAACTGCACGATGCGGGCGGGTATCCAGGAGGATCTCCTTCTAACTACTCTCGGCCAGCAGAGGGTGGGCGTTGGCGATGCTAGCACCGGCATACGGCACAGGGCACCAGGAGCCCGGCTCTGACTGGGCCAATTGCGTGACCACGTCGCGCCACAGGCGGATTCGAGAGGCCAAAGAGGGAGCTCGAGTATCCGTAATCACAAGCGTAGCTCCGAGATGATGGCGTCACGGGGATATTGGCTTGCTAGGCTACCCGTTTGGACTAGACCGTGGTTGGCACCCTTCCTCTTCGCCTCGTGTACGGCTCGTGTGCCGCTTCGAGAGGAGAGAAGAGGGCGAGGGGAACTGACTATAAGACCAGGGCGACGCTGCCGAGTGCAAGAACAAGCCTGATCAGCCATCCCTCAAGCTCATCCTTAGCGCTCCGAGTCGAACCCATCACCAGAGACGATCTCCCGGTTCATCTAACAGACCGCACACCCTCCATCTCCGATACCCTGATCCCGTTCTCTCCGTCCACAATGGCCCCTTCCCTCTTCCGCCTCGCCTCATGGCTCGCCGCGGCCGCCAGTGTCATGGCCGCCCCTGTTGAGCGCCGCGCCGTCATCGACCACGATGCCGTCGTCGGCTTCCCGGAGACCGTCCCCTCGGGCATCGCCGGCACCCTGTACCTCAAGTACAAGCCCTACCTCAAGGTCGTGAACGGCTGCGTGCCTTTCCCCGCCGTCGACGCCGCCGGAAACACTGGGTGCGTTCCCCTTGGTCCTCTGCTCGAGAACCACTCATGCCCCTTTCACTCGCAAAAAGATTTTTTTACTAACACGACCCAGCGGCGGCCTCAAAACCTCCGGCTCCTCCAACGGCGGCTGCAGCTCCAGCACCGGCCAGGTCTACGCCCGCGGCGCCTCCTACAACGGCCTCTACGCCATCATGTACTCGTACTACATGCCCAAGGACTCGCCCTCGCCCGGCACCGGCCACCGCCACGACTGGGAGAACGCCGTCGTATGGCTGTCCGACATGTCCGAGTCCGCCACCGTCGTCGGCGTCGCCGCCTCGGCCCACGGCAAGTACGACGTCAAGACGTCCGGCGTCGACTTCACCGGCGTCACCCACCCGCGCATCGGCTACGAGAGCTTCTGGCCCCTCAACCACCAGATGATCTTCACCAGCACCACCGGCGGCCAGCAGCCCCTCATCGCGTGGGAGTCGCTGACCGACGCCGCCCGCACCGCCCTCCAGAACACCGACTTTGGCAGCGCCAACGTGCCGATGAAGGACGGCAGCTTCACCAACAACCTCGCCGATGCCGCGCCGTAAATCGAAAGACTGAGGCAACAATGGGGGATATGAGGAATGGTGGGGGGTTATCACTTTTAATTGGGAGGCAGCCCGGTTGGCTTGCTTCATGACAATTTCATGCACATACGTTATACTGCGCGGGGACGAGAGGCTTGATACTCTTTCCTAAATGGCCCCGTAGTACATAAAAAAAGAATTCGAATTTCGGTTGACACGTCAAAAGTTGCCATTATGATCATGATGAAAGTAGCGTGGCCGTCGAGGGCAATCTGAGATGGACCTTGCAAATGATACCAGCGACGGCGAGTTCCACTTAACAGAGCATCGCAGTCTGCACTTTTGTTCAGTGGAGTCAGTCAAACCACAAGTTGTCGCTCTGCCCCGTTGGGGGTGGTTGAGTCGGGCATGTGTGGCCGCAAGCCATCAAGAACATGAGCGCCATCAGCTATCAGCGACCGCACCAATACGGACGCCTATGGCAGTGCATGCGACCAATTTGAAGGTCGCACAAGCAGGCCTCGTGTCGCCTGCCGAAGACGGCAATGAATCTCCGATGCAGGCGACCAGAAACCGCCAGGCCGCCGCGCACACCGCAATCAACCGGCAACGAGCTAGCCGCCGTTATTGCTGCTTGGATGTATTTCGATCGTCCGCCTGCATCAAATCATCGGACGGGTTATGGCATTGTATGGGAAGGACGAAGGCAGGCTTGCTTAATGGGCATGTTCCGTGGGCATGGCACGCGGGTCAGCAAGAGTCTCTGGCAACTCTTCCGGCCCTTTAGGAACCTCCAGGGACGCGCGTACAGTGGAACCGGCTTTGGAGATTCCATTGGAAGCTTCCTCCTCAGCAGATTCGGCATGAATCCCCTTGGAGACTAGTTGTCGATGTATTCAGCCGTGTGGTGTCTCGCCCACGTGGTCGTTAAGGTTCGCGGCGTCTGGTGGTCCTGATGGGGTCTACCCCGCACGTGGACGTCCAGGTGGGGTTCCAGGGACTGTCTGTGCCGCCTGAGTCAGGGGCACACCCGCCATGTGTGGGAATGTTATCCGAGGCACACAACCAACATATGCGGCATTTTCTTCATTCAATTCAACAACAAATGAGCAATAAGGGCCCTCTGGCGCAATGGTAGCGCGTTCGACTCCAGCAGTTTGTTAAAGTCATCGAAAGGTTATCCGTTCAAATCGGGTGGGGGTCATTTCTTTTAGAAGTGTTTTGATGGTGGTTGATAATGAGTTGTGCGTACTATACGGAAGCACAACAGTAGACCAAATCTAGGGGAATGAGACTTCCTCTATGTTTTTTAGTCCCTTACTAAGAACAGGAAAGAGTTAAACGCTTAGTGTCGGGGTTTTAGACGGTAGTTAGGGTGTCCCTAGACTGGCTTTGCTGTGGATTTGTAAACTCTTACCGAAGTTTTTCTCGGTGAGGTACACGTGGCCTCTCTCTCACGCTCTCACGTGCGTGAGATTTGGACCTGGACGACCCCACACCTGCGGGTTCCCTCGCTGGTTGCTTGAGGTTTGCTTGAGAAGACGACGAGGATGAAACAGCAATGTAAGACAAGTCCACAGGAACCGAGAACGATATCATTGAACGTACATGTGCTGAAATTGCATCCTTCAGTGCCTCTTATTCTCCCTACAACGTACGGAAAGCACTTGTATTACGGTATCGAACCGGCTTGACTGCATGAATTGAGTTACTGGGTTTCGACCAAGTCCAGGTCTGGTACCTGCAAGGTCCGACAAGACATTTCGTCACTTATACCAAATGCATTAGACTAATGAAATTTTTATTCTGTGCGACCCCGTCGCATTCAAAAGTTGTGTTCCAACGACCGGTTTACTCATATGACATGGGTCCGGAATTGAGCACCGGAGCCGGACCGGAGCCGGACCGGCAGTGGGGCCGGAAGGCGTCAGCGGCGAGCCGAAGGGCACGCAAATGGTTGGCCCGCATCGCAAGCAAAATTGAACCCCAACTGCAACTGTTGCTGCCTTTTTTTGACATCATAGACCTCCTCTCCGAAGCCACCTTTGCTCAGATCGCGAACCGCTCCAGCTTAATGAATCTTCCCTGGGATCTTTGTTTCCGAGGCTGCGTTTTGAAATTTTGCTCCAGCATCGGATTGCGGCCTGCGACACACTTTCTGATGCCACCGAGTGAGGCTTTGTGATCGGAGCTCATGAACGCGACTGGCCCGTTTAGACTGTTGGCTACAGGTATGGCTGGAGATTCCCTCCATCATCTACTGCTGTCATCGAGACATGACAACGCCAGGGTGTCTAATCACCACTCGTCAGGCTCTTGATTGAGACGCCGCACTGTATCCTTGATCGTCGCATCCATTTCTACCATGGTCTCCTTGAGAACGGCGGAATATGTCTACATTCGGCCTTTGGTCTTTCTCCGGGCGTCTTCTTGACGCTGCAATGGGCTAAAGGACCTGGAAATCATGCGTTCGGTATGACCAGATGGCGCGAGACCCATGAGGAACCTCTCTCAAACGTCTTCTAGTTTGATTCGCTCTGTCTTGAGGTTTCGGAGGAGACTTATTGACATTCAGCTTGTTCCATGTGTTGGGGGAGTCCTGGGCTGGGTTGGTCGGTGCTTAAACAAGTGCAGATTTTATTGCATTTCGCTCCCAAATGTTCACGTTGAACCGCTGTAGATCAGAATACATAGTTTATGATTATCTCGAGATTTAAACTTAACAATCTTTCACCATTTCTATTCATCATTGTATCCATGACCGATAGCTTTGCGAATCTCGCCTTGAATATCGTCGGACCCCTCGAGGCTCGAACTCTTCTTGGTTGTCATGAAAGATTCTTCTAAATAGTCTGTTCGGTTACCACATTATCCCAACCCTTTTAACGTGCTTGCTCGCTTCTGAGTAACGGTCTGGTAAACCTGGCGCTCTCAAAACGGTCCAGGCCTCCTTCGATCCGAAACTCCACGGTGCATCACACGCACGCGCACAAATGTTGCAGTTTCTTGACCAGGTTAGATTAGGGAGTTCAGTACATTCAGGTGCCCGTTGGAGACTCCCACAGTGTACCTAATCCACAGCATGCAGCTCAGGAGATCCCACATAGTACACACACGCCTCACGGCACGGTGGCGGATACCTACACCATGGAGGTACCTACCCGGGGAGCACGGATTTGACAGACCTTCTTTCCTTCCGACTAGATGGCCGAATAAACACATTCCCAATCAAAAAGAAAAAACTGCACTACACCAATCTGCCGCCGAGCGTAAGTCTGGATGGAATAAGGTTGTGTTACCTGGACGTGAAACTGAAAAATGATCTATTATTGACAGCGCCTCGTCTGCGTTCAATTTCGGGGCTGGCTCGCTCAGAGGGCTCTCCAAGAGAGACGCCGAGAACGCCGCCAGTGTTCTGGCAAGTGCTGTTTTCTCTGCGACCAACGGAGGTGTCAAGAAGCCACAGGCCAAGGCCGTAAGTACAACATCCTTATCTTAATATTAGTATGGCACCAACTAATGATATACATTTAGGGCCAGGGCACGTCTAAGTTCGCGGCTGTCCGCCGCAGGAAGAAGGCCGAGAAGGAGGAGGTCAAGAAGAAGGAGGCCAAGAAGAAGGATGAGAAGGAGGAGAAGAAGAAGAAGGAGGAGGAGAAGAAGAAGGAGGAGATAGAGTTAGAGGCTCTGGCGGCTGCAGCCGTCGTCATTAAGGTCGAAAACGTCAGTAACGTTGAGATAGATATGTTTCCTTATCTTGTTTTGTATTGTTTAGGTATGCTAACGTAGGTACTTGTTAGAGCCTAAGACTTAATCTTTGCCGGAAAGCAGTTGGAAGATAATTAGCCGCACTTTGTCCGACTACATCACTCAGAATGAGTCTAATTAGTTGTGTTTAAATACTAAAATAAGCCGTCATTGCGATTAGGAATTTGTTTTCCTCACCACAGATTATAATGTGCTGCACAAATTGTAAAATAGGGATCTAGGGTGACGTATGCCACGTGGACCAAAGGCCGAAACCACTCTGGTTGCTCTCTTCGATTCTTCTTGCTCTCGTTTACAGGCCGTGTTTGGCGTTATCACGAGGTGCCTTTTGCGGTGTTGTCATGCTGAAATTGGCGAGCATGACGTCCCGCGGGAGACGTTGCAGGGAATTGGCATGTTGAACACGAGTTTCATGATCCAATGTTGTCGTGACGATCAGCCGAAAAGAAGTAGGTAGGTAGACGTAAGGAGGCTGGAAATAGAATAGAGTTCAGATGTGACAGACCCTCAGGGATGTGAAACTGGGTAGGGCTATGTAACATAGCTTCTGAGGCCAATAGATATACTTCTAGAGCATTACTGCATAAGGTAAAGATGGGGTTCTTCTGTAACAAAAGTTGTTATTGGGGCTACGGCCCAGGCTAGCCCTCATAAACAGACATCCTACATCCGTTGATGTGCTCTGGACGAACGCACAACGCCGACATTGAAACTCACTTTATTCGTACATTTTTTCTTTTACAACTGGGCAAGTAATAAAACACATATAAGTCTTGCAGAGGGGAAGAGAGAGACACGCAGTAGCTGCCACGACGTCATAATCAGCCAAAGATGTCGTGAGTCAGGTACCCCAGGGGTCCCCACAGCCTTCTGACACAGAATCCCTGGCGTTCCGCACAGCTGGAGAGAGAGAAGAAGAGGAAGAGAGGAAGAAGAAGCCAAGACCTAGGATGCCGGCGTCCGGCTAGCTGGACCGTGGGGTTCCCGCCCGTCACGATGGGTAAGACGAACATGGGGTGGAACTCTATCTGGCCCGACGCCCCAGCTGAAAGCCGGGGATTATGTCCACAACGTCCGCTTGGCTGAAGGAATCTGCGACGGCTGGGCGGGAACACGGCTCGGGGGTGCCGGTTGATCACCACGTAGTAGTATACACTACCGACAAAAGCGACGTGGGACTCGTCTGTTTGAGAGCGGTCTTGAAACCTGGGAATATACTCTTGGGTTATTCTTCTCCTTATTATTATTATTATTATTATTATTATCGGGCCTTGAAGAACCTTGACACCTGGCCGTCTGCCATGAGGACTCAATGTCACGCACCGGTATAAGAACCCTTCATCGGTCTCTCTCCTCCTCCATCTCGAATCCGCACGCACACAAACATAAGTTCACCATCCAAAAAACCTACAACAACTCAATCAAAAACAACCCGAACGGTTCGATAACCACCAAGCCTCTCTACCGCCGCCACCATGCAGTTCAAGCAATCCATCCTTGTCGTCCTCGCCGGCCTGCTGTCTCTGACAGGTAAAGCTCACACCAGACCACCCCCCTATCGTGATATTACCGTTGTTGGCTAACGATTTCCGCCACAAAAGTCGCCTGTAAAGATGCGGAGGGTAACGATGGTGTCTGCAAGTCCCCCGGCTTCTGCTGCAAGGAGGACAGCACGCAGTGCGTCACTAGCGACTGCCAGTTTTGATTGGGACAATGAGCCACGTCTTATGCCTTGTTTTTCTTTTCTCCTTTGTCGAGCATCTAGTTTTCTTGTTGCGATGATTATAGACATACCATTCATGCCTCATCGATGCACCGTGTCTTTGCGTGTTCTTCTTCCTCCTGCCTTACCAAGTGCAAACCTTCCCGCCTCGGCAAAAACATGGCGTTTGTCTCTCGAGCAAATCCTAAGCCGCATGCACCCCCGATGTCTCTCATCCTCCCCATTCAGCGTCACTCCCAGCGGTGCCTCAGACGATGAAGAGGGGTGCGGAGCCCCAGGCCATGGCGGCGATGCCGGGCCACAAAGCGGCAGCGGCGAATTCCTCATAGAAAGCGGGGCATATAATATACAGTAATTCACAAAATCTGGTACCCCTTGCTTAAGTTTGTTATTAACTTAGTATACCTCCTTCCTAATACACGCCTCCTTGTAACTTGACAGTGACAAGAGGGACCTTGGTCGGATCGTCGCTCATCCCCAACACGACCTCATAAGTCGGAGTGGCTTGTAGAGACCCGTCCCGTACGCGATGGACGCGGAAAAAGAATCCCCCAAAAGCACGCGGGTATGTTGCATGTCTATCTTCCCGACGCCAACGGGCGCATCCCGAGATGGGGACCGGACACCGGCCCGGCGCTGGACAAAGCCCACATCCGAGGCGCTGCCGAGCCGGAGAGACGCGACACCATTAGAGTCTTGAGGTGAATTCACTG